GTAATGGATTGATAAATGAACCCACGTCCTTCAGTTTGCAAGACCTGAGGGTCGCCGTAACTCAGAAGCGACTTAAGGACACTTAACACCCTTAGACGGTCTAATTAGCTGTGGTACTGTAAGTACAACTTGTGTTTGCTAGCAACAATAAGTATGGATTTGGGGGCTCTTAAATTTTATTGAAGGAGGTTATTATTATAGGAGGCTCTCGGGTGAAGGTTTGTGATAGCGAAAAAGACGCCTGCCTGCTTGCTTGCTGAGACACTGCAGCCCCAAGCAAGCAACACTAACAGGCCTCCTTCACACATAAATTCGCCGCGCGGCGCGCTATCCGCACTTTTCACTTTGCTACCTCACGTCTCCTGCGGCTTCCCAGCACCCTTTCCCCGCGCCTACGCGCAATGGAGAGTCTGACACGACACCTATGGCGGGAGCAGGAAAGCGGAGGCGCGCAAGGAGCGGTGCGGCAGGGCGGATTCAGAAACGGAGGAATCCGTGCGCGCAACCAAAGCGCGCGCACTGCTCCGTGACCCATCTCACTGAACAAAGGATTCTTTCTCGAAATCTCCTCTCCAGACCTAAAATGGCGCCCTCTCTCGCAGAACACCATAGAGATAAAGGAGGGGCCGCAGCGATAGAAAAAAGACGTATGGGAAAGGCGACGGGGTAGAGCGGCTGTCTCCAGCGTGGGGCCTCTCTGCGCCTCAGCTTCCAGCTCTGTGGTTGTCGCTTGCGGATAGGAGCTTGGAGCTCTGTTGTTATGGCGGCTGAGGGGGAACCCGACGACCCGAAGAAGGTAATGGGCTAGAAGCAGTGGCGGTCGCTGATACCTGGCGTGCATGGTATTTAGGAAGGGCTGCGACATCTCCAAACGAAGATCGTCAGGCGTGCCTTGAGGGCCAGAGGAGGGTTCACCCACATGCCATTGGATGGTGGGGAAAGGTTATGCTAGATAATTGATACAGTCATTTGGTCCCTGCTGTCTGTCCCTCTCCCCCGTAGCAGCTGTTATACACTGCCTCTGAACGTGGAGGTTGCGGTCAGCTATCGTGGCTATTACCGCAGACCATTCCTCCTCTTTAAACCGGATCTCGTTACACCGAAGCCAGGCTTGACCCAAACCTGATTCCACATACCCATCCCACTCTTACACTTAGGGGTAATTGTCAGGGAGTGGCCACTGAACTCAGATTCTTTGCAGTCACGAGTACAAATTAGAAAAAAAACCTACCGCCATCTATGTAAGACATTTCTAATATTTGAAATAGCCATCAGGCACCTTAGGAGAGGACTGAAGGGGATGGAAAATGTGTAACTGCAAAAAATTAAAGGGGGGGGGGCTAAAGCTGGAGAGGGCAGCCTGATATGTGGCATTTTGGTTCAAGGAGCTGAAAATGGTCCTGTTTAATTTCATTATGGTGTGGGCGGATAAATTATTAAAAGCCCTGCTGGTCTGAAGCAATAGAAGAGAGTTTGTATGTGCACACAAAAGCTTATACCCAGAATACAACTTTGTTGGTTTTAAAAGTGCCACTGGACTCAGTTCTGTGAAAGGAATTCATTGCTGTGCTGGTGGTAAGTACCTTCAAGACACAGCTGTCTTACGGCAACTTCAAATGTTTCTGGAGCTCTAGTTTCCACAATCTTAAATGGTGATTATTAGTTCTGCTGCATGAAAACAAAAGATGCCATCTAACGAGTAGAAATTTGACTGCAGTATTACAGACTGCCTTGGGTTTCTGTATGGAACATCATCTATGCTCTCTCAGTGTAATGGGAGTGTGTTCTAAAAAAAAAGAAAGAAAAATCTCTGAACTTTGACAGAGTCAAATATCAGGCTCGGTATTTATCTAACAATACAACAGTATTTCTAAACAATGAAATTCTTATTTTTTCTCTGTATGTGGTGGAAAGTACACAATGTGCTTTTACAAGGAGAGTGTGGGGCTAAAGTCTTGGGGAAATGAGGGGAGGAGGAAGCAGCAAGCTGTCTGGCATGTGGTTAGGGATATCATAGAATCATAGAATGTTAGAGTTGGAAGGGACCTTGCAGGTCATCTAGTCCAACCCCCTGCACTCTGCAGGAGCATAGCTGAAAGATAGCCCTACATACCTACAACATACCCGAAAGATGGTCGTCCAGCCTCCACTTGAAAACGTCCAGCGAAAGAGCATCCACCACCTCCCGAGGCAGACTGTTCCACTGCTCAACCACTCTTACAGTTAGGAAGTTTCTCCTGATATTTAGCCGGTAACGACTCCCTCGTGATTTCCACCCATTCGATCTAGTCTTGCAAACCAGAGCAATAGAGATCTGCTCCGTCTTCTACATGACAGCCCTTCGAATACTTGAAGACTGCAATCATGTCCCCTCTAAGCCTTCTCTTTCCCAGGCTAAACATAGGATGGAATCCCACCCCCGGAAGTCTCATGGGTCCCTACTTGTTATTTTTTATTTTCAAAAGTATGTCTCAACAAGTATTGTAGCAGATATAGAATAGCTGTACAGAAGCAGCAGTGCTACATCGATAGTGGCTTCTGTCCCAAAGCAGAGCAGCCACAGCTTGGAAAACCAAGCACGGTTCTCCAGAAATCTCTTGCTCACTCTTTCATCTGGTTCCAAATGCACAGGTTCAGCTCTTTTTGGTCTCCACACTCCAAACTCTGGAAGGCAAATTAGTCTCGCAGCTTCTTGCAGTCCCACAGGTGGAACCGATCTGCTGCACTGTTTGTGTATTAAAAAGCATTCAGTGGCACATAACTAAAATAAGAACATATTGAATAGTGGAACAACAAGCCATGCTGATGCATAAAAGAATTAGAATTGATTTCTCTGTAAGTCGAGAGGGGAGAATTTTAGCGGGAACAGCTTTTCCCAATGGAGCGCAATACTAAAAAAAGTTTGTATCTGCTACAAGGCCATTAAAGAAAGGTACAGGAATGCTTTCTGTATTGAATCTGGCACTTTTGTTGAATTTTGGTGTTTTGGTCAGTAGGCTAGGTAATTGAATTGCATCATTCTCTGAGGATGTTTTGATTTGATATATTTAACTTTTTTAGTCTTTTAAGCTGCTGGGAATACTTGATGTTGGAACCATCCCCTGTGCTCGGGAATCAGTGCTGTATGGATCACTGGGTGCTTTAACTCTGGGCCTTGGACACTTCTTAGCAACTAGTAAGTACAAGTGAAAGCTTGTACAAATGGGGTGGGGGGAATGCCTTCTCTTTTTCCATCCCTCCCTTCATTTGCTCATATACATGTTTATGAATGCAAATACTTTCACACTTGCCATCCTCATGCTACTGGAATATAAAGTATAATAGTTGACTATTAGCATTTTCCATTTCCTTCTCTACTCGGCTCTTTCCCTGCAGAGGCATATAACCCATTCTGATCCCTGGACCTTTTATATTGAGAGGCTGATCATGAGCACAAATAGAGCAGTGCTTGTGGAATGGAACACTTGCTGTTACCACTGCAGCTTGGAGGACTCCCCAAAGTGCAGTTCCTGGGGTGGGGTGGACTCTTGGAAACAGCATGGAGTGTAGCATGGGGATCTGCAGTAGATGAGTGGTGACATCTTGTATGAGCAGAAATGTTACTTGTGCACACAGAATGAGGCCTAGGATCCAGCCCTGAAAGTTCTTTAAACTCTGAGCAGTTAAGATGTTTATAAACATTCCATAATACCTCAGCAGTTGAGTCAGTAGCTAAGGTGGGTTTATTTCAATCAGCTAAATCCAGAAGTCTTGCAGCCAGAATGTAAATTATACACGGCCTGCATTTTACTTTAACATTTGTGTGCTTTTTATATCTGATGTTGGGGGTAAATTAGCCAACACATTTTTTTTTTTTTGCTAAGCTTCTCTCTGTGCTATAATTTGATCTCATTTGTTTCCTTATAGCCATACTATAAATATCCAGGATTACCTAAAGTGGCTTTCGTATCACAAATGAATTTATAAAAACTTCCAAAAATGTTCATAGGTTGTATGCTTTGCTTTCCTGCCATTATCTAACTCTTGAGTTTAAAACTTATATTCAAGCTGTGTGAATTTTTCCCCTCAGGTAGAGTGAGACGATCATGTCACTTTGGAGCAGGAGGCTTTATCCTGACAACATTAGGATGCTGGTATGTGTGGTTTTTTCTGGAATAGTCCAGTGCTGCAAGATACTGTATTAGGGCACAGTGCATCCCCATATAAGCACAGCCACACATAGGATTCTCAACAATATTCTCCCAACAGCATTCCAGGCCAGGAAATGTTCACCTCTCACAGCTCTATCCAGCTGCCCAGCAGGGTCTTTTAAATTCACATGGTGATGCAGTATAATCATTGGTGTGTGAATTTTAACTAAATGTTCTCCTTAATGCTACTAGCAAAACTCTTTTTGCATTCTTTCCCATTTCCTCATTCCAAAAGGCAATTTTTATATCTTGTTATACAAACATTTTTATTCTCAAACAATATTTTTAAATAATTGGGAGACCGTAAGAGAGTGGTGGGTTGGCTTGGATATGCCCTTTTGTGCAACATCCTTAAAGACATTTGGGAGAACCCCTTCCTGTACTAGCCACACACATTTGTGCTGGCCAGAAGCTGCAGGAAAGGAGGCTTGACTTTTGACTGTTAGCAGTAGTAGCCCAAACTGAAAACAGAATAGATGTGCCATGTATCTTTTGAGCTCAGAGTACTCCTGTTGCCTAGTGAAAAAAATTGTGAAGCTTGATTGTTCTGTTTTTAGACTACTAGCTTGTTCAGCTAAATACTGTCCCATTAAGTATTTGTGAAGCAGGGAAAAGGATTGTGCTTCTTTTTTCATTTAAGGTTCTACTGCCGATATAATAATGCAAAACTAAAGTTCCAGCAGCGAATGATTCAAAAAGGGATAAAAAACAAGATTTTGTTTGAAGGCACAGAGTTTGATCCAGAGAAGCAAAAAGCAAGAACTGAAAGAAGTAATTGACAAAGTCATTGTGCAGCAGACAATTTGTTGGGAATGGAAGCTAATCTGAGAAGTAATAGAACTTGGTTGCTGCCAACACATTGGGTTGGATCCAATGGAAACGAGAGATGTTGGAGCGTATCTTTCTGAGCCTTTTCCAAGCAGCCTACTTGCCATGAAAAATCATCTAGGGTTGAGAGAGCTTTGCAAAACGAACACATTGTACAACACGTAACAAAAATGGGGAATCAGGTAAAATATCTTTTTCTGGCACGTGGCTTGAGGAGGAGGAAGGTGGGAAAAGATTCACTCTGCCAGTTCCTTCTGGAAACTTTGTTGATCCATTCTATAAGGGAAGTAATTTTCTTGCCTCAGGACTATCATAAAGTTGATTTGTGTTTTACTTTTACACTTGTATACAAATCAAAAGCACCTTAAATCTACCTAATTTGTTCGGGGGTGGGGGGAGAGTCAGATCCAGTTAAATATAGTACATGCCAAGGAGGATGCTGAAAATGTCCTCAGAATGGCTCAAACTGGTGAATTAGTTTGGGAAGTTTATTCAGCAACTAATATAGACAGATTAGACCTTTTGAAATGTAAAACTTGTGGGCAAGATTGAATCAAATCTGAACACTTCCTAAAATGAAGTTGATTTTAGTGATAGATTTTTTGTGTGTCACAATTAAATAATTGCAACACTTCCTGGATTATGTTTCGTGTATATTTTATCCACCACCCCCCAAAATCTCAAAGCACTGTTCTTCCACATCACTTTTGCTTCAGTGGTTCTAATGGAAATAGTGCTTGTATTATCTAAAATGTCACAAGATATAATATAAACGAGAAGCAATACTTTGCTCAGAACTACAAATGATTAATACCGTCCAAAATATTTACCAAAACGTATTAATATATGTCTAAATGTGTTAGGAGATTTAAGGCACTTCACTAAAATAATCACTGTCGTGTTCTCCAGTCATGTTTTTCACCAGTTCTATTCCTCAGGCTTCAGCCTCATTTCAGATAATTCATGCATCTTCCCATTGATATTACGTCACTAGCAGACACTTTCCAACCACAACACTGATTGACCTGGTAGAATACCTGTTGTGGGTTTTTTTATGTTTTTAAATTGGTGGTAGAAAATGCTGAATTTGTCCCTGCACCAGTGTTCCCTCTCAGCTGAGTGTGAGCTAGCCCACAGGTTTTTTTTAGCCTGCGGCTCACACATTTTTGTCTTGGCTCAGGAAAGATGGCTCCAGGGCAGACTAATGCAGTAGCCAAATCGCTCACTCACAACTTTAATGCCGGTAGCTCACAAATTAGAATTTTTGCTCACAAGACTCCACAGCTTAGAGGGAACATTGCCCTGCACTACTTCTGTTTGATGAAATGAATACCTTGACCTGTGGCCACAATTCAAAGAAAGTACTTTAAGCATGAGTAGGAAATATGCACTCCTGATATTTAACCTTACCCTCCCCTCAGTTCTGAAGAGGCAAGAGGCTCAGATTTCTTTTTCTTTTTTAAAGGCATTTGCCCTTGTTGCTACAAAAAGATGCTCACGGAGTTCGAATAGTGGAAATGGTTGCAAGCAAATTAATTTTTTCCTAAAATCTGAATCATTCTAGACTTGTCATCTGATATAGTAATTTATAATGTGCATGGTATATTTGGATTCCGAATGTAAGTTATGGGCCTTTTAATTAAATACTATGTGAAAAGTAGCATGCAGAAACATTTCCATGCAAATAAGTACAAACTAATAAAATTATTTGAATTGGGAGGAGGCCCTTGCCCTTTTCAAAACCATACATTTTTGCAACTGTAAGCTCAGATATTCAAAACCAAGACAGATCTGCTGCCTGTGAAATGCGCAGTCCTAATTCTTGCTCAAGATTGGGGGGGGGCACACATTGGCAGGATGACAATACCATACCATTGCCTCCTTCCACCGGACCAGAAACCCCACATTAATTAGCCAAATGTTAACTTGTAGACACCAACATATTAAAAAATCCTCCAGCTGCAGTTGCTGCATATATTGGCATATCAGGCTCTAGCCCACAAAAGCTTATCTGTCAGCATTTAAATTACCACAGGACTCTTTTTTGTTTTATCATATATTAGAGCTCAACAACACAAATATTTGTGTGCAGTAATGTTATTAACATGGGATTTGATCTAACATTAAGTTTGTACACATATACAATGTTAATTACAACTGCTGTCAGTTGGTTCTTGAACCAACTTGAGTGTTAAATGTGAAGAACAGGTCCTTTGAAAACATGTTTTATAAGTCAGCCGCTAGATGCTTGAAGGCTTGGTGTCTTCCTTGATGGTACAAGCTTACTGCAGTTTCTGTCTTGGATAGGATTCCTCCATCAGATTATGTTTAGGTACATGAAAGCCAGGCAGCTAAAAATGCAGTAAGAAGTGAATCTAGCATGCCTGTCGGACTGCTACCTGAGACACAGGAGCTTCCTACTATATGGGCACCTCAACACTGTGTCCCCCCCCCCCCAACTTGAAATATTCAGGCATGTTAAGCACTCTCCAACTTTTGCCCCAAGGAAACAAGTTAATTTGAAAGCCATTTTAAAATTTAGACTCTGGCAGGCATTACTCTGTAGGGCACTCAACTTTAGACAGAAATTTCTTGGGCCAAAGTTGAATTCTGTCCACAGCTGTATATTGTACAAAAACTCCATGACTCATACAAATATGGTTCTTCAATAATGGGAAGAGTAAGTAGTCATCATCTACCTGTGTAGTTTGCTTTAGTCTTTACCTAACAAGAACAAATATACTATACTTCTGTTTTTCCATTTCACAAACATCCTAATGAATTCAGACTAGGATATTAAATGAGATTTCAGTTTATCCATGGGGGAGGGTTACTGCTGAATGAAGACCGAATCTGCAAATTATCTTCCATTTTGTAATTTACTCTTTATTAGAATTTTGTTCTAGCCCCTGAAATCATTAAGGGGCAACACAAAGACCTATCTATTAAGCATTGTAGACTTTATGGCACAGGAAAAGACCTTATCTGGCCAAGCCGCACAACTGCCCCAACCCAGTGGCCAAAAGGGGGAGGGGGCAGAGAATCACAAGCAAGTTACCCCCATCTTAGGGTAGAAGCTTTCAACAGCATCAGAGCCACTTCAGATTTCTTACATTAGTGTTATACTTGAATAACCCCATAGGAGAGCTTTCCTACCTCCCAAATTTCTCTCACATTCCCCTTTCCCCAGCATCTTCATTTAACTCCCAGAGAGCTGACTGGTACTCCAATCCTCCCCATAGATCAGAAATAACTAAAAGAAGTTTGAATCAACAGGTCTCACAATCTCCAGCAACCTTTTTAGGGATTAGAAGGGAAACTGTGCATATGTGAGAACAAGGGTTCCTTGTAAGTACTACCTCACAAGTACCCACACACAGCATGCAGTTGAACTGAGGGCTAATTTACATGTCCAACACTACAGGTGGTTTTGCAAGTACCGGTAGGAACTATTTTTCTGTAGCAGTATTTTCCTACTCTTTTCCTTGTAGCTTTAGGCAATTTGAGGAATTCCAAGAGGCTTATTGTACACGGATAGCTTTTCTTTTTCCTTAACTACTGAAATGTAAATCAGCTGACGTTTGTGAGAACTCATGCATACAGACACCTTTGCTAGCAGCCATCTGTATATTTAAATCTGAGAATACAACCTTTGGATCAAAACAAACAAGGTAGAGCAAAAGTTGATCATATATGGTACAATTGTCCTTTCTATAGCAAGAACTGTTCTATACAGGGTACTAATCCCAAACTATTAAAAACTTCTTCCATATACTGCACACTGTAACATGTACTCAAAATTCCCAGCCCTGACCAAACTATGCTAGATAGAACAGGTTCTTTATTAGTCCAGTTATTTATCTGACAAGCACCATAGAGGATTCTGTATAATGCCACCTTAAGTGTTCTCAAATGGAAGGTTGAGATCTTCAGCCCCAAAGCATGGATGTATAAGCAATTTGTGGATAGCAAAAAACCTAAAGGCCTGTATTTCCTTGGGAACTCCTCTAATGCTTAAACCCTAGTAAGTAGAGCCAGCACAGTGTAAGTGATTAGGAGGACCCAGACTAATCCCCAACTCCTAGGCGATTTTGGGCCAGTCACACACTCAGCTTAATGTACCTCAGAGTTGTTGTGAGGATAAAATAGGCAAGATCTAAGTAGGTTTTGGGGCCCCACTGGGAATAAAGGGTGTAAATGAGATAATTCCCTCTCAATCAATTAGAACTGTTGCCACCCGTGGCTATTCAATATTTACAAAATACATACATAGCTAATTCTTAACATAATCCAAACACTGGCTGCATCAGACCAGTAGTCTGTAGCTTATCATCCTGCTTCACAGCCAACTAAGAGGGCCAACAAACAGAGTGCAGGCCAAAGCCTTCCAGCTTCTATTACTGGGGGAGGGGGGATTTTCCATCCACTGTAGCAAGAATCAGGAGAAAACTGCTCCTTTCTATCCTGCTCACACTTGTACAAGAGGCAAGGTATGATTTTTACTATTTTCCCATGAACTTCATTGGGTGCTCCCAAATTCCCAGTGCTATGCATAATAAAATAAAAGTTACATCTCCCATTTAGCAAAAAAAGGCTAAAGAGAGACCCTCATTCCTTTTCTGCCAACTCTTTACTGGTAGTGGTTGCTCTCTTCTGCAATTTTTTCAACCTTCTAACTGCAAAAATCAAACAAAGAAAAACCTCAGCCAGAACTGTGGAGTATTCCAAGTGAGGCCACATCAATATTGGCCATTGCCTCCGGTATCATACACTGAACCAACACTTTTCACCAAGTTTTGCACTACAACCTCAAGATCTCTTTTCCCTCTTAGCCCAAGTATCTTAAACTAAACAGCTCATCTCCCAGAACATATAATACCCATTTACCATGCCACTGCAAAGACCAGACAAATGCACATCACTGAAGCTTCATATGCCTAGCTGTAACTTCAGATTTTACTTTGCTGTGGTAACACAAATCACTATCAATTTGAGACCACAGGGCACAATATAGGAAGAACACCCATCAAACTTCACAAAACTGTTACAGAATAAGACACTGAAGATTGATAAACCTAATTTCCATGTTTTCCTGAAATTCCCTCCAGCTCACTAGACTTCTATACAGGGGGGTGGGGGGGGGGCGGAGATATGATTCAGGCAAAGTTGCTTCCAGCACAGAAGCAACAATGTTAACCGATTCCTTTTTTATTGTGAAGGCATGCATGCTATGTGTACATCCCTCATTAGAGTGGTGTATTCTGGCATTAAAGGGATTTTAGACCAATCTGGTGAGAATCCCAAAACAAGAGTAAAATGATTTTATTTTATTGCAAACAAACGTCTAAAGTTAATTTCTCCACCCACTATCTTTAAAGAAGTAGTAATCAGCAGGCTAAAGAGAAACACCCATTTGAGAACTAACATGATTAAAAATTAGATATAAAATGGGTGAATCACAATTTGTTTACAAAATGGTGGAGTTTACTACTACAAGCACACTAAATACACAGTATTTTGTGGGGAAACGGGTTACAGACACACAGCTAACTTCATATAGATCCCATTAGACAACTGGATTTACAACAAGTTTGTTTAATAAGAAATGGGCAAAGCCAGCTTTCAGAATCAAAATGCAGAACAAATGGAAAAAAATTGATGGTGTACCTTCACAAGTTGAGTCTCCACAGACAAATGCAACCAGGTTTATACACACTCCACCTTCA